CAAACTCAACTGATTTAGACCAAAGTAAACAAATTACATATGTGAAAACACCCTGAGCCTAAAAATGTCTGGGTACCAGAACGGGATTGAAACTAAGGGATCCAAAACCCAAAGGAGATCCCTGGAAGACCTTCAGGAAGCCACAGTGGACGACAAACTAAGAAGTTTTTCAAGATTAAAGGAAAGTATTGACTGAAGGTTTCAACAAACACAACTAGTCCTCAACCACTTTAAAATCGATCGCTGCACATCACTGACAGTTTACCGTTTTGATGGCAGAGAAAAGTTCAGACCACAACCATAGAACTTTCTTTTGTGTACCATTTCCAGGTCAGTTTCAGGCCAACAGATCGACTTCAGCTGAACACAGACTGACGGACCGCAGGGGAATGGAAAACCAACTCATTGATCTGTGATGTTTCAGGCACCATCACAGTCATTCAAACAGACACTTTCAGTTCAGTGGTCTGGTTTGAATTTATCCAAACTTGGTTCAAACACTCAGAAATAAAAAACAGAAAAGATGTCTGTTTTTCTCTGGACAGGTTTTCTGTTGTTTTCTTACAGTCGATGTGAAGCCGACCCTGTCTTGTTACAGGGTCTTAGCGCCGTCAGTCACCCTATGTTTGATATTGCTCATACCTCTCTCCTTCTCCCCCCTTTGCTCTCTGTTACACTGCAGTTAGCAAAGCATGCTGTGAAGGCTAAGGCTAGTTAGCATAGCCACTGATGACATGGGATAAACAGTTTTCCTGTCACGCTAAGTTTCCCAGGGTGTCATTTATTCTAGTGGTTCCAACACTAAGATCTTGTCAGATTTTTTTTAATAAATATTATTTTTCTACTTAATGCTCAGAGAAACAGCTGTTATCTAAAATAATCTAGTTTTATGTAAGAAGTTGAGACGATGCAAACAGGGCAGAAAATAGTTTTATTCGGGAGTAGCAGCTGGTTCTTATTTAACAAAAATCAACAGTCTGTCTTCACTGTAATAACGAATAATCAAATACATTCTATACAAAGAAAATGACAACTTTAATGTTCTTTTTATACCACGCCCTCCGGCTGCTGTGGAGCTCCCTCTTCAGGCGACGGCTCATACTGCAGCAACTGCAGGACGAGTAGAAACGGGAGGTTATGACGTTTTCAGCTCTGGACACTCAAACAGAAACATCGACAGCCGAGCGCCTCACCTTGTTCCTCAGCTCTTTGTTCTCCTCCATCAGCAGATTGAACTTCTGCTGTAGATCGGCCAGCTCTGCCTGCAGAACCTCAGTGTCCGTCGGCTCTCCACACACCACCCCCCCCAGGTGGACCTTTATGTAGCTGAGACGCTGGTTAAGGTCCAGTTACGATTCACAGCAGGCTGAGGAGGTTTAGGAGATTACGACTCTAAAAAAACATCTGAACTCATTTCAAACTGCAGAATAGATCAGAAATGCCTTTTATTGTACCTGTAGTGCAAAAAGTTGAAACAGTTCTGCATAAATAAGGTTTTATATGCAGTGCAGTGGTAGGGAATGGTTTTAACAGCAAATTATCAGAGATGGTAAAGATGTTTTATTATCTGTGTGCTACTGTGTAAATGAAAACCAAACTTGAGCAAACAGACATTTGAGGTCATAAAGTTGGCAGCTTTCTGACCTGAGAGTGTAAAAGATTCAATTTGTCTGAACTTGTCTGACATTAGATAAAGTCTCTAGAAATATATGCCAAGTTAAAAACGAAGAGTTCAAGAGTCACAAGAAGATTTTGTTTTTCCTATTATCATGTTGCAATAAGCAATAAATCAATCCACCGCATGATAAGTGAAAATGAGCTCAATAATTTTATTTGCATTATTTTGTTGTTTTTCTTTTTCTACCAAAAACTGGATGACCAAAGTATTTAGTCTGGTCTCAACTTACCATTTTTTTTTTAAATTTCATAATTTATTTTATTTGTTGTTTCTGTTGTTTTGTTTATTTTAGATATTTAAAATGCTTTGAAGTTCCAGAGTTAAATGTTCATTTAAAGTTTATTGATCTTTGAGAATTATGCCATTACCATTATACTACTAGAAAATGGTCTCAAAGCAACAACATTTTTGCTTATTGCAATAATTTCTGGCACAATTTATTGTCCAGCAAAATTTCTTTCTGTGACAGGTTTAGTCTTTCAACTATCAATTAAATGCAACTAGAATCAGACGAGGCTGGCTGATATTCCTTGAAAAAAAAATCTCAAATTTCTTTCATATTAAATCCAATTTCCAATTTATAATCAGTTTACTTTTCCTAGAATTAAATTACAACTGAAAGAATATATATTCAAAAACTTTATTTCAATCCTCCCACTCTGGGAGCTGACCTGAATTTAACTAAATACAAGCTGCAAAACAAGATGGCCGCCCTGGGCGAGCTGACGTTACTCTGAACTACATAAACCCAAGGAGTGTATGATTTTCCAGAAATTAAATCTTCATCAGCAGAAATTTAAATCAATCAGTAAAACTGATTTACAGCCCTATTTTTATGAATGGTCAGAAGTGATTTAATGTAAAATAACTTTATTTGTTGGGTATTTTTATGTATTTGGTTGAAATTAATTCCAGATATTTTCAGACATTTGTCTTTTTATACAAACTGACTTTGATTAAACTTCTGTCTATTGCAGTCAAGCCACTGAATAAGTACTTCACAGAACTCCAAACACTTTGATTTAACTTTTATGTTTTTAAGTTGGTTTATTTTTTTATCTTAAAAGAAGAATGTTATTTCAATCTTTTGCTCTTCACTGCATGCTGTGATAATAAACCCTCCCAAAGAGACAATAGCAGAATAATCCAGTTAAACTTGATATACAGGAAACACACTGCCTCTCCTGTCTTACAGCTCTGCTGAATTTATTTAGATAAATTACTTTTCAAAAGGCAAATAAGAGGGCAGACCTTTAAATATTATTTTAAATCAGGAAATTTACAGGAAATTAAGCTAAAATATTCCTCAGTACAGTTAAAACAACCTCAACATCAGAGTGACAGCGCCCCCTATTGGGTTATAGAGAGATTAGAATTGCTGGGTAGATGTCTGGTACATTGTGTCCCAAATTAAACACAATTTGTGTGAGAACAGAAAAAAAATGTCTTTAAATTACAGAATCTAAGATCCAATCAAACAAATCTGTAACTAAATACAGTCAAAATTTTGAGAAGATTTACAGTGAACAACAACCCCAAACTTTCTGGTCAGGAAATCAAATTTTCCTTAAAGTTTGATTAGAAATAAACGTCATGGTTCAGGCAGGAGCACGACGAAGTCTCATTCGAGATATTAGAATATAAATACAGCATTTAAACAATATGTTATTTAATTTAAAAAAGGATACTCAAGTGCATTGTCTGGTTTGTCAGGTTCTTCATAAAGAGCCACAAGCACTGCAAGATAGAAACTGATAAATCAACACAGTACAGAAACCTTCATGTAATAACATTTAAATACAGCTGAAAGTTTGTGCAATTACACAAATGTGGTGTTTAATAAACTGTAAAGCTTTGTTTTATTTTGTTAAAGGTTCACATTATATTTTGGTAACTGTGTAAATGAATTCATAGCAAAGATTTGTTTTAAATACTGAATTAAGAACAAAGATTTATTTTCAATCATTTATGCCCAAACGGATTCATATCAACACAGGTAAGGCTGTGAAAGAAAAATGTTAAAACAAAATGCTATTATTTTTAAAGTTACAAATCACAACATCTGTGTTCTTGCAGCAACTTTCGCGCATGACTGAAGCAGTTAAACTAACAAGTGACTGAACTTCCTGTCCACTCACCGCTGGTTAACGAGTCCAGAACTCCTGATTTCTCCAGGTATCTTCGAAACTGTTCTCGCTTCGTTTCTGGGGCCTAAAACAAAGAAGCAAAAAGCTGTTGTAATTCAACGTTAAAATACACGGAGACCCCGATTACAGTGGCTCCAGAGGCTTTAAGTTTACATAAAAGCTGAATATAAAGCAGGGAGGTCTCGTGGTGCGTTCACGACCAAGCTACACACGATGCTAACCAGTTAGCTAATGCTACATTAGCATAAAAATGAAAACATAAAGCAAACGTAACAATGTAAAAAAATATATACATATACGTATTAGCGATAAAACAGAGTAAGGCTCCCGGGATTTACTCACCCTGAAGCTAGCCATGAATGCTGCTAAAACTGTTTGGTTTAAGGTGGCAAATATGAGACAGTTCCAAACTGAGCCTCAACCGTTAGCCTGTGGTGCTTACCCTTCCGCCTACAAACAAGTGGTCTGTTGCCATAGCAACACCAGAAAAAAAAACATTTTTCGAAAATAAATAAATATAAAGTATAAATAAAATTAAAACTGGAAGAGAAAAGTGGCTAAAAGCTTTCAGAGTTACTGAAATTACGGAAGCATTTTTAAGTAATTTATTCATAAAAGACAGTAAAGGGTAATTACATTTATACTATAACGCTTTCTAGGTCTAGCTACAGAACACCATATACTATTAAAAACAGAATAAAAATTATATTCAGTATATTTATAATAATTGTGTTTTAGATTGCTGTATTTAAAAAACAATAATATTAGAATATTTTCAAAAATATTGGGGCATTAAAAAATCATGTAAGCCGAATATTTTCTTGTTATATTTCGCTTGCTATATGCTTTCAAGTGTTGAAATACACTTTAAAAAGTCAACTAAAACGCAGCAAAAACTTTAAATTGTGACGATTGTAAAGAGAGTTTAAGAATCATTTGAAGACGGTTTTTTTTATTTTTTTTATTTTCAAAATATATGACAAAATACTGCATTATTAAAACTACGAAAACACCGCTTTCGTAATTTAATTTATTTAAAGTGTTTATTTACATCTGTAGAGCCACCGCTAGCTGTTCCACAGATGAGCACAAGGAGCCAATCACAAGCGTCAACGTCATAATCCTTAGTACAGATTGATAAATAATTCCTACCGCACTCACTTCCGGGTCTCAAACAAGGCGTAGCGCTTCTCGATGGTTTGTAGATCTGTTTTCCCCCGAATCGTTGTTCCTCATTTGACTTTGTTGAAAAACAAGCAGCTTCGTTCAGTTTTTGTCTTGCCGGGAGAAACTTTATGTTTATTCGCTTGATTAAAATTAAGAAGGTAAGATTTAATTTTGGAAATACAGTTACAGGTAGTTACTTACCTGATACCTCTCAGTTACAATGAAGTTGTATACTGCGGTTACCTATTCTATTTTCAGATCAGGTTTCGGTTTTTAGTGTCTCTGACAGCGATGATAACTGGCGCCCTTCATGTCTAATTTTTACTTTAGTTTTCTGTCAGTTGATTACTTTAATATGTATATTAATTTAAGGAAAAGAAGCTTAAAGTTAACGTGTTAACATTAGTTTTGCATTTCACTAACACATAAACACTGAGGATAAAACTCACAGTTGGGTGATACAGTATAGTTTAAGTTTTTTATGCTGTGATTTTACAAAATACAAAGTTTTTTAAAAAAAAATCTAGTTAGTGGATGTTTAGGTTGACGACATGACAAAACTTACACTAATCCTGTTATTCGGTTGGCATGAAATAGTAAATATTAAAGAAATGAACTTTAATATTTTAACCAGGTTTCTCTGAAGCATTCGGGTTTTGTATTTTGTTGCTGCCAAAGTTGTTCTTATGATGTCACCAGAAGTAATAAGGTTATTTTAGGTAAGTTAGATTTTTTTCATGATGAAATGATGATTTGCAGCAAAATAGAATAATAAAGCTAAAAACTGACAATTAATTATTGTTTTTTAGGTGACCTGAAGTGAGTTGGTTGATTTTTACAGACAGGTCTGAAGTGAACCTTTGGGTTCTGCTAATTTGACCTTTTGGCATGAAGTTCATCTGAATCTCAGACAGAACTAGGCGGTTCAGAAACTCATTGATTGTTCCTGGCAGAAATCCTCGTGATGCCTTGCTCTCATACTTGCCGGGACTTGCTTTAGTCACATGAATAATGATAAATATATGTTTTATCTCCGCTTACAGAAGCAGAGATAATCTTAAACATCTGATAGTGAATTAAGTAAACTACACAAACAGTTTCTTTAGATAAATTTATTTAAATATAAATTGCTGCAGTTTGATGTCTGTGATTCCATGAAGTTGGTCCTTTTTCTAATCTTTCAAAGCTGTCTTGGTCAGCAGTTTTTCAAGTTTTTTGTGTGTATTTTTGAAAATGTTTTTTCAGTAAATTATGAGGTTTGCCAGTAGCTCATCCTGAAGAATCTTTTATGTTCTTCCACAATTTTGTTGTTAGTCCAAATGTTTTCCAGCAAACCAACTTTCATTTCCTTCAGCAGTGGAGACTTGCACAGTGAGCATTCGTAGAGTCCATAGTTGAGTTAAGCACATGTTGCTTTTCATAAATAAAAATTCTCGCAGGTAATTCTGGGTCTTTCTGAAGCTCTTTGTGAGGATTTCTTAACAACTTCTCTGCTTCTTCTGTAAATCCTTTCTGCTTCTTATTTCCTAAATAAATAACAATGAGGAACCTGTTTTACGCTTGAGGTTTAATTTGAATCATTTTACAAACTCATAAACACCTGATCACTTTCCCCTGATGCATAAAACAGCAAAAAAAAAGAGGATGTACTTTCTTTCTTTACCATAACTATCTACTTCCTGTTTCGCTCCAAGACATTTCAATAGTTCCTATTTACAGCAAAGTTTAATTAGGAAATTCCTCAAAGTCGCGGCGTTTTGTAGCAGCAAAGCTAAACTAAATGCCAGGCTGTTGTCAAGGCGGTTCTGACCCAGAATATTTGTTTAATTTGCAGTAGATTTTGCATAAATGCTGAAAAATGTGCAGAAAGCTGATTGTTTTTGTTGATGTTGCAGTTGCATATAATGAGACTTTAAAAGTGAAACAGGCCCACAGCATCACCCAACCTCCACTGTGCTTATCATTGACTCACCTGGAGTTTTTGTTGTTGGAAAGTTTAGTCTGATTCAGGTGAAATCCCTGGAGAATTGAGCAAACTTCACATGTTTGTGACAGAAGAGTACCAGTAGTAAGTGTCTTAGATGACAGCTGATGGTTGGTATGGAGACGTGGTGGCTAAGCCTATCCCAATAAGCAATTAGACGTATAATAAATCAAGATCAGCTGATCATTAATATATCTTAAAGGGCAGTTTTGTTTACAGAGACTTCATAATCCATTTTATTTATATTTTCAGTTATGTGTGTCGTTTATTTCTGTTTTATTTACTGTTTTTGTTGTTTATTTTATTAAAAATACGTTCGTGTCAAACTCCAGTCTTGGAGGGCTGCTGCCCTGAAACTTTTAGATGTGCCTCTGCTGCACCACCTGAATAGGATAATTAGGTGATTAGCAGGGCGCTGGAGAACTGAACTACACAGGGAGGAGGTAATTAAACCATTTCATTCCAGTGTTTTGAACCTGTGGTACATCTAAAAACTGCAGGACAGCGGAGGACTGGCGTTTGACACCCCTAATGTAAAGTGTTCCTTATAATATGAAAGTTTATTAACCTTTGAAAAGGCAAACTTGCTTTATTATGCCGTTAATATATTATTTAAAATGGTCTCAAAATAACTTCTTTTTTTTGACAGTTTGTTATTGTCACAGGTCTGTTGGTGGCTCTAAGACTTCATATTTTGATGCAGTGATGTTTGGAGATGTTTTTGTGTGTGATGAAGATACATTTTGCTCCTCGTTCTGCTTTGTCTCAGTTTAGACCAGTAGCTACTATTTTTTTTATTTCCCCCCTGAATAAAATGAAAAGCTGTATTTTGCTGCGTTTTTCAGTGATGTTGTGCTACTGGATTAAAGTTAGGTTTGTCTTAAAAGCTTTTTACATATCAGTGGTTAATGCATCTGTCTTCATGACCGAGAAAATGTCTGCAGATCTTTATATTTTCTGATGAAAATGCAGGTTTTGAAAGCAGCAGTCTGCTGTTAAACTGTCAGCTGAGCTTCACTGGATGCCACTTGTTGTCTATCAGAATTTATCTGCTGAAGTTAAACGAGTTCAGATTACTGAAACAGGAAGTGGTACTGTGAATCATCAAACTGCCCGAACATTTCTGCAGAGTTTCAACAACAATCCCGATCAGCTGAAACTCCGTCATGCGCTCATCTCGCTTCCTCTCTGCTTTGTTGACGTTTTAATGACTCGTTTCCAGCTCAGCATGGCTCAGTGACAGCGACCCACCGACCGAACCAGTCCGGCTCAGACGCCTGCCATGCCGCTGCCCAATGGCCGCTCCATCAACACCGACGACAGCGGAGACACCGAGGTTCTCCTGGGGAAGGACGCCGGTGAGTTTGCTGGTTTGGTTTTTATCTTCATTTTAATGTTAAAGCAAACAGCAGCTTTTTTTCTCCAAAAGAAATAAAAAGGAATATGTTATAATAATAATAATTAGTATTTTTAATATTTATTGATTTAAATAAATGAAAGTTTTCGAAGCCATTACTTTGAAAGCAACACAAAATCAGTTTTAGTTTTCTAATGTACTCGGGGACAAAGAGCCTAATTTTTGGAGGGATGGACGAGCATCACATTGAAGCAACATCTCAAGACATGAACTAGGACGATGGACAGTGTCCCTAAAGACACCACGAGCTCAGAGCTGCTAGGTCCAAACATCACAGCAGAAACAATACAGGAAGACATTTTCACAGATTCTGCAGCAGAGATGAAAGGTTTAATTTTACCAAAGTAGAATTTCAAAACAAAACGCTGGTGAACAAAGCAAACGGGAGTCATTTGGACTTTTGTAAAATCCGTTCCCGTCGACAGTTTCCCCTCGGTGCTGCTCGGCCCGTCTCAGCCTCGCCGTCCTCATGTTCCTGGGGATCTCCGTGGTCTACGGTCTCCGTGTCAACCTCAGCGTCGCCATGGTCGCCATGGTGAACGTCACGGACCCGTCCGGAGCCAGGAACACCACGGCGGAGCCGGCGTGTCCGCTGCCGTCCGGACCAGAAAACAGCAGCAGAGCCCTGCAGCAGCCGGACGGGGTGAGTTCTGCGGCTCCCGCGGGCGCCCCCTAGTGAACCGCAAGGTATTGCATGTAGGCGTCAGTGTATTTGCTTTGACGTGAGCTCAAACTGCGACGGGTGCAGTTAGCTTACCAAACGATTGTGTTTAAAAATAACAATGAATAAATGGCTTAAAGATTAAGTATGTAACTTTTATAGAATATATTTTACATATTTGTTTGGCATCAGAGAGATAAACTGTGAAAAAAGTCGAGCTCCTCTGCCTTCTCCCAGTGCTAACTAAAAACAACCAATCAGAGCCAGGAGGTGGGACTTAGGGCTGTCAGTCACAATCTCATGGAGCTGCTACCTTTTCCCCAGTTTCCCTCAGTTAGTGAGAATTGTTCATTTTTACGACTTGTTTATAATGCTCTGCTCACACGTCAGCACGGCTCTAGAGAGACGTTTGAATGGACTCTGGTGTTTCTATCCCTGTTGACGGCTGATTGTATCCCCACAGACTCCCCAGTATCCCTGGGACTCGGAGACTCAGGGCTGGCTGCTGGGCGCCTTCTTCTTCGGGTACCTGTGCACTCAGATCCCAGGCGGCTACCTGGCCGGTCACTACGGGGGGAAGATCTTCTTGGGTATGGGTGTGTTCGGCACGGCTGTCCTCACCGTCCTCACGCCGCTGGCTGCTGGGTTGGGGTCACGCTGGCTGTTTGCTCTGCGGGCCCTGGAGGGCTTCGGTGAGGTAGGTCACCTGGTTCTGTGTTAGACTCTTAAAGGGGCAGTGGTACATAAGGCTATTTTATAGCACAAGTAGCTATGGTACCGTCAGTTGCTATACTCTATAAATATCAAATACGAGTAAAATTTTTGCGTTATAATTTAACTCCTTGAAAATGTTTCTTTAGAAACTTCTGCTGTTGCTGAAACTTCGCCTGCAGGAAGTTATCGCAACATGGCTCGTCTAACGTCGTCTTTACCAGCGTCACACTGAGAAGTAGCTCCTTTAATGAGCTCAGCAGATGTTTGCTAATTGCTGTTGGCTAGTAAACTGCTAACAAGGGGGAACTGTCCTTAAAGGCGGGGCTAGATCCCCCCAGGTGTTTTGCACATCTGAATGGTGGAGAGTATAGGATTTCTCAAATATGCTTGAAAGAATCAAGACAAAACATCTGGTTTGTTACCTTATTTTTACATGAAATAAAGCTGAAAAATGTGATTTTCCAAAATACTGGCCCTTTAACAACGATTTAAAGGGGACATATCATGAACTTTGTACTTCATTTGCGTTTCTGCTGCTTCTAAAAACAGACCAAAAAGACACCCAGACATCTTTTGAGTTAGTTTTTTGATGTCTGGAAAATGAACCGTTTCCAAAAACCTTCAAAGTGTAACGTCATAAATCAGAAGGCACTGCGCCGTTACCTAGCAACCCCAGAAAAACCCAGCCCGTTACCTAGCAACACAAGCAGAACTCAAACACGTTTGGTCAGCTGGTTTTACCACTGAATGCGGTATGGCTGCTGGAAAAGAGAAATGTTTTGTTGTTTTGAATTTAAAAACTTATATTACCGCTGCCACACATTTGTAATTCATCATTTGCTTTCAGGGCGTGACGTTCCCAGCCATGATGGCGATGTGGACCCGGTGGGCTCCGCCCCTCGAGCGCTCCTTCCTGATCTCCCTGTCGGGTTCTGGGGGAAGCTTCGGCGCCTGCCTGGCGCTGCCGCTCACCGGTTACATCTGTGAACAACTGGGCTGGCCCGCTGTGTTCTACCTCTGCGGTCCGTGGCAGAAACGCAGAAATCGCCACCGTTCAGCTCCTTTTTTATTAACGCTTCACGTCCTCGTCCCTCAGGAGGCGCCGGGTGCCTCTGGTTCATTTTCTGGTGCATTCTCGTGTCCGACGACCCTCGAACTCACCGTCGGATCAGCGAACAGGAGAGAGATTACATCATAAACTCTATTGGAGCTCAGGTGAGCATCAACTTCCTGGTTGTTTTGTTCAGCTGTATGTGTTTGACTCAAACAACTAATCATGATTAATTAGTTGTTCAACTAATAGTCAAGTAATTAAGTAATCGATTAATTGTTAACTGGAGTATGCAGAATCAAAAGAAGGTCAGGTGCTGAAAGAAAATCGTAGTCAAAGCAGTAATTAAGCCAGAACTGTCAAAAAATACACATTTTGCATTAAAGTTGAAAAATCTTATTTATCTAATTTATCTTTTGCTACAAATGATCAAATGTTCTCTAAAGAAATTCTGTTATTGCATTTTAGGCAATAAAATGTTTTTTTTTATTTTTTAAAAATGAATTTGATATTTTTTATAGATTTTTCATATTTTATTAGGTTTGCAACTAACCATTACAGTAATCAATTATACTGTCTATTATTCTGATGACTAATCAAATATTTTGATGATTAATCGAATAAAAATGGTACATTCTGGAGATTTTTCATTCAACCAGTTAAACCTTTTTATACAATATTAGGAATACATTCAAAGATCCAGACAAACAAATAATTCTGTTCTTTTTAAAATAAAAAACATTTTATTACCTAAAATGCAGCAACAAAGCATTTTAAATGCAAAATATACATGTATATTTAACAGTTTTGGCCTACTTACTGCTCTGAGTGTATTGTTCTTTCAGCAAATAACTTTTGAGTCTGTATACTCCAGTTAATGATTAATCGATTACTAAATTTGTTGACTATTATTTGAGTAATTGATTAATCGCAATTAATCAGATTAATTGTTTCAGTTTTATATTTTAAAACATAAGTCGAAGAGGTTAAATAAAGACTGCAGAATGTGCCATTGTTTAATCCGATTAATCTAATAGATTACTGATCTGCTTTTCAAACCAAGTGTTGGAGAAATTTCCGGCCTGCAGTTTAAAGGAGAAGTGAGGAGTATTACAGTTCCTGTTTCTGCTTTTTGCTTCTCAGATCTTATTGTTTACATGTAAAACTCATTTTTTCATCAATGCTAAACACTTCTGCTTGTTCATCTGTGTGTTGTTTTTCTCAGTTTCCCAGATGCAAGTTAAATTTGTCTGTTATCATTTCCCTTCAGGGCAAAGGTCACGGCTGGTCGCTGCCTCTTGTGTCCATGGGGCTTTCCGTCCCGCTGTGGACCATCATCGTCACTCAGATGTGCTCCAACTGGTCCTTCTACACGCTGCTCACCTCCCTGCCCACCTACATGAATGACATCCTGCACTTTGACCTGCAGTCCGTGAGTTTCTGCTGCTCCGTCGCACCAGATTAAAAAACTAAAACTTACCTGTTCAACCAGGTTTCTATTGAGAGAATAACAGAAACTCAAAAAATGTGAATATCGTGAAGAAGAGTTTGTTTTGCCCTCATTTCAGAACGAGGAAATGTTTATTTCGTTTAATTTTGGTAATTCTGGCTCACAGAGAATGAAAACCCGAAATTCAATATCTCAGAAAGTTGAGTGGAAGGATGAAATCTACCAGCAATGTGGCTAACTGCAGCCTTGGCAAGACATTGAGGCAGAATTCCTTCAAGAATCTTGGCTTGAAATATTTCTTTAAATATTTCACTCCGTTTGTGATGAATCTGTATAATATTTGAGTTTCATTTTCTGAAATGAGACAGAAATACAGATTTTGACATTCGTGGTCTAGTTTTTTCTATTTTATTTTTTTTGGTCTAGAAAATGTTTTTAGTTTGATCTCAGGAACAAAAATTGAGAACTTTCTTCTAAAATCCTTGCCGTCTAAAGCCAAATTTAAGGGATCGGGTGCGAAAGTGTAAAAAGTTTCTGAATGTTTGTGGCACAACCTGAATGATATTAAAATAAAACTAATAAACGTAGTGAATAAAAGAAAAATACTTTGAGTTTATTAGGACCAGACATTTTCCATTTAAGAAGATCTTTAAAATGTTTTAAAAGCGTTCATGCTCCTTTTTCTGACTATTTTTTTGGACAGTTTATCGTCGCAGGTCTGTTGGTGGCTCTAAGACTTCATATTTTGATGCAGTGATGTTTGGAGATGTTTTTGTGTGTGATGAAGATACATTTTGCTCCTCGTTCTGCTTTGTTTGTCTGTTTAGACCAGTAGCTACTATTTTTTTATTTCCCCCCCTGAATAAAATTAAAAGCTGTATTTCGCTGCGTTTTTCAGTGATGTTGTGCTACTGGATTAAAGTTAGGTTTGTCTTAAAAGCTTTTTACATATCAGTGAAAAGTTCAGCTTTTATATAAATTGGCCTGTTGCATTTTGCTGTGGTTTACAGATTGGATTTACTGTGTTGTAGCATTTAATATTAACCTAATATAATTAGATTTTTATTTAAAACGTTCATCTTATAGTGAGTTGTAAAGATTTCGTTCTGTTTCTGAGTTTTGTGTTAAATGACTGACTCTGTGGGCGTCAGAACGGCTTCCTGTCAGCGCTGCCGTACTTCTGCAGCGTTCCGGTCTCACTGCTGTCCGGCGTGGCTGCTGATTGGCTCATCATGAGGCAGGTGTTCAGCATCACCAACGTGCGCAAGATCTTCACCTTCACAGGTCAGTGAGGTCACTTTTTCAGCCTAAACAGTCTAGCTGCTGGGTTGCCATGGAGATGCTCGTCTCCCTGCAGGCCTGGTGCTGCCGGCGCTCTTCCTCATCGCCGTCTGCTACGCCGGATGCAGCCACATCCTCACCGTCACCTTCCTCACCCTCTCCACCAGCTTAGGAGGGTCCAGCTCCGCCGGAGTCTACGTCAACCAGATCGACATCGCTCCCCGGTGAGTGCCCGCTGCCATGGCAACCATTTCAGCTCAAACATGGAGTCATGAGCTAACGGATTACCATCTGAGCTGGAGGTGTTGCTTTCCACAATTCAATAGACATAAATATTCCTAAATGAACCAATATGATCATTTTATTACAATAAATTTAAAAAATACAGTTATGCATAAAATACATAATGTCATGTGGAGCCATCATTTCAGTCTAATCCATTGTGGTCAGTGGGCGGGGCTAACAGTTATAGTTAAATGTGACTGGTCTGCAGGTTTTGTCATGAATAATTTATAGTTATACAGGAAATGACTACGTATATATGATTTTAACAATAGAGCTTTAATTAAAAAATATCACATTTATCTAATTGTGTATTTGATTGTGATGGAGACCAGGGGTTCCATCCCATGTTGATTATTGATAATATGTTGTTTTCAGTTCAAATGTGTTTTGTATCAGTTCTTTATTTCAGTTACATTGTGACATTTGGTGAACATTCTTTTTGGTAGGGAGACTGGTCATCTTTCCTGTTCAGAGAATGTGGGGGAAATGTCAGTTTGTTTTGATTTAGATTAGTTCAATTTGAGTTAATTGAGTATTTGCCTTTCTGGGTGTGTCTCAGCAAGGTGGAGCAGAGAGGGAGACGAATGCTCCTGGAGCATACCAGCTTCCATTAGGAGGGGGAATACTCTGAGGATTTATATTTAGTTATATTTACTTTTGATTGACTTTAGGTTAGTTTAATTTTAATAATTTGCATGCATGTAAATATTTGTTGGATCATTTATTGTTGGTTTTGTGTAAGTAGTTTGTTTGTCTTTTCTTTTTGATCACCCCTTTACCTGGTGTAAGTGTTGGAACTTGCCTCAGGTATAAATGTCAGCTTCTTTGTTTCACACAAAAAAAAGGGTGTTGGTGTAATGAAGACTTGGAGCTCCCAAATAAATCCACCTCAGACATTTGTTGCCTCACTTCCTCCTTTAACGCAGAGCCTCCGCCGGTCAAAGTGACATTGATCAGTTATTGATTTGTTTACAGCTGAACTTTCAGATGTTTTAGCATCTATTGGTTTGTGGTTCTTTTGGCCCTTGATATTAAAGGAGGAGCAGATGTGTTGCCATGGTTACCCACTGCTGAAGCTAGCAGGTTTAGCCGCAGGGAAGAAGAAGAAGCTAAAGGGTCCAGTAATCTGCAGAACCGTCTCTTCATCAGGACAGGCGCAGCTAGCAGAGCGCAGCTAGCAGAGGACAGGGACAGGCTGGAGCCAAGGTGTTTACTGAGGTGAATCAGTTTTATGGAGTCAACAGTAACGATTAATCGTGACTAATCAGTTATTAAAATGATCGTCAATTACTTTAGGAATTGATTGATCGTTAACTGGAGTATACAGATGTAAAAAGCAAAATAAATGACGCAGTCAGAGCAGAAACGAAGCCAAAAATGTATAAAAATATATACATTTTGTATTTAAGAGAAAAAAAACACATTTTTTTGTGAATATGTTGAACTCAAAACTCCTTAATAGGCAGTTTTAGCCTGGTTCTTTGAATGCGTTACCTGATGTCATACAGCTTAAGTGGTCAGAATAATCAGTAGGCTAATCAATTAATCATCAGAATAATTAGTAGAATAACTAAGTCATCAGAATAATTGATGGACAAATCGATTGTCAGAATAATCGCTAAAACATTAAATTAGTAGATTAATAGTTGGTGCAGCCCTAATCCTGATCCAGTTTGTGTGTGAGAAGAAAACTGGATCATTTGATGGCAGCAGAAAGCGTCACAGCCAACATAGGAGGAAAACTTGAGATTTTTATCTACATATTTATTGTGTTTCGTTTCCTGGCAGGTACGCCGGGTTCCTCCTGGGAATCACCAACACGTTCGGGACGATCCCAGGTGTTGTGGCGCCGATCGTGACGGGATACTTTACAGAAGATGTGAGTCTCCAAGAAATCAGGATGCTGAAAAACCTCCAGCTTTTCTGTCCGACTGGTTTGGTTTCTGTTTGTTCTGCTCTAAACTTTTTATTCCTAATGTTTTCTTTTTCTCTGTTGGGTTTATTGAGGCTCTCGCATAAAAATAAGACTTTTCTTGGAAGTTTAGCTTCTGTGTCATGAAAACGGCAAAAATAATTGTATAACCTCCATTTTTACTGTGTTATTAATCATATTTTAACTCCAGAGGTGTCTGCAGTGGCATACCATGTAGTCTGACCTCTGACCTTTCTGCAGCACACCATGGCAGGCTGGAGGAAGGTGTTCTGGGTCGCCGCTGGGATCAACATTGGCGGCGCCGTCATCTACATGATATTTGGCAACGGGAAGATCCAGGCGTGGGCCAACGAGGAGGAAAACGGTGAAGAGGAAGAGGAGGAGAGGGCAGTCGGTCCAAGTTGAAGAAAAACCAAAGAGAAGCAGCGAAGCTCAACCTGGTGAAGGATTCGGGGCAATTAATCCACAGACTGACCTCAACGTACAGTTTTCACATCTTTTGTAACATTTTCTTCTTGTTGGAAGTTTACATTGCTTTAAAAACTCTTTAATTCATCTCTTTTGCCTTCTAGTGTTTCAGATTTTCCTGTGATCTTTGAAGTTGGTCTTGCTCAGTATTTTGAAGGTTTATTTTTGGACTTTGGCTGATTTTTCACTCTATCAGTCGCGTTTTCAGAGGAATGCTGTTAGTTTGGTCGCTAAGCCTCGTAGCTTTGACATATGAATCATTCAGGAGTGAAAATTGATGAACCGGCACAACGATGACACACAACAGACCATTTAGCAAGTACAAGTTGAACCGTGTTGCTTTGTTCAGAGTGGAAATCGGTTAACCCAGAAAAATCCCAGAAATTCAACAGAAAATAGGATTTTGGGTGATTTCAAACTACGGGCAACAATATCGGGAAAAGCTTTGAATAATTTGGTCCTAAATATTACTTTTAATTATAATAAATCAGAGTTAATCCAGTTTATTCTATAAACTGTAAAACTTAAGATTTCTGCTGAATATCACAACCCGACGGATGATTCATGGCTTTAGTCTGGCGTCAGATTTCCTGGATTGTTCTTCCGGTTCCTTAAAAACCGTTGTCCAGTTTCTTATTTAAAATCTGGGATGATATTTGATATTAATGTTGCTGTTCAGCATCAGTCAGTTGCTGTTTCCATTACAAATGTGCACAAAACTTTTAAATTCTGCTAATGTTGAAAAAACATAATTTTTTTTTATTCTGGTGTTTCGATTCTATAAGAAACACAATTAAAATAACACATGAATAATTTAATTCACGTGACAAGTCATTAAAAATAATAGTAAACTGTTATATGAGATTTATTAATATCTCAGCCATCATTGAGGCGTTGGAGAGATAAACCTGTATTTGGGAGAAGCTTCGTTTATCTGTAGCATTTTGGTAAAATTATAGGCATCGACTTTACAGAAAAAACAAACTATGGATTTAACCACTTCAAATTTTGCTGGACGATAAATTGTTCCAGAAGTTGTTATATTGTTTTAAGACCATTTTTAAGTAATATAATGCAGGAACACATTCTTAAATGTCGATGAGCTTTAAAATCTAATGAACATTTGACACTGGAACTCAAAGACGCGTTAAATATCCAAAATAAATAAATAAAACAGAAATTAATAAACTAAACTATGAAGTCTCTAAACAAAACTGTCCTTCAAAAAAAGGGCCAGTTGAGTCTGATTAGTGTTTTAAGGCTATTATCAGAAATGTAAAATATCCAGAGCATAAAATATTGAAGCCTGAATTTTTCTTTAGTTTTTTTAGAAGTTTCTCTTCAGATCTGATTGGCTAAAAAAGTGAGGACAAAAGCCTTTGGATATTTAAATACTTGTTTCGCATCAAATTTTTCATTCTTATTTAGTTTCTCCTGTTTTCCAGAGGAAAATATCTCGTTCATCCTGGTTAATTTATTTTAAATTATTATTAAAATTCGAGATAATGTCCAACAGCGCCTCCTAGAGGTTTACAATGAAGTAACAGTCTTTTTTTATCACTAACTCCACAGACACAATAGCAACGATTTTATTAAAACATGCTGCCAAATAAAAATGCAGTTGCACTTAAGAGTTTTTAAAACGTATAAAAAGAATAAAACATTTTAATGTGAGGAAATCTGACATGCAGATGCTGAGTGGAGTTGTGGTGAAATCAGGCAGTAACCGGATCGTCTGAACTGTCAAATGGCTGCCGAACCGTTTCGGTCGGTTTGGTTTCAGACAGACTGAAGCTGCAAAGATCCTCCACTGTCTGCAGATTTAAATTGTAACCTCAGGATAAAAACGGTTCAGGCTTTTGTTTGTTTCTTTAGATGCCGTTTTCTTAAGAGTTAATGGTGATTCATTTTTAAAGGATGAAGTTTTAATTTCATGTTTTTCCAATTTATTCCACAATCGGTTTGTTACATTGCTTTTGGTCTTGGTACTTTTTATTTGATGTTTTATTTTTGAAATCGATGTTTTTGTTTAGTTTAACCTCAAACTGCACATAAGCTTAGAAACGTCTGTGTTATTGAGAACTAGACGAAGTTTTCAGTCTTCAGTTTGACCAAATGTGTGAAGTTAAAAGTGGATTTAAAGTCGTTCATTTGAATGAAACTCTTCAGACGGGACAGATGAAGCACTTTCACCAGGCGCCTTATGTTTGAGCAGCAGCATCACTTAAACTGGAAGCACTTTTTGCGTCAACATTTTAATAACAGGATAAATGTAATGTGTTTTTTATATTACAAATCCAAATGTTTTGTTTTTATAAGATAAAAATATCATAATCTCTGCAAATGTTTGCAGAGAAATAAGTTGCACATTGATGTTTATAAATGGATGTAAAATGGGTGTAAAAAAATATGTACAATGTATTTAGTTTTTTAAAAGATGGGATTAAAACAAAGATTAAAATTGCTGAAGATCAGCAGAAATTCTCTAAAATGTGTCTGTACTTTTCTTCAGAAATGTTTTATGTACATATTTATACTCTAAATTTCAGAAACGGATGCAGTTTAATTCTGGTGGTAACATTTTAATAATTCACACGGTTTGAAGGCAAATTATCACATTAACCTGTTTTTATATTAAAACGTGTAGTTTGTATAAACGTCCTTGCTCCTGAGGCTTCAGGGGAGCAGTTACTGTGAACAACCACCAGGTGGCACAATACAATAAACATGAGTTTCTGTCAACACAATATTTGTGCAAAGTGATGGCAACAATAATTCTTATTTGAAGCTTCTGAAACTGTCAGATCTTGTATTTATTTTTAAATTTTGATTATTTGGCATGAAATACATTTCTTAATGACATATTCTACTAATTAAGGCAGTTTCCATCATATAAATAGTATTTTGATAGTTTTATAGGAAGATTTGAGCTTGCAATGTTAAAAGCTACTCACAAGATCTTCAATATTGTATGTGTATTACTGATTAAGTAGTTCACTTTTATTTTTTAAGTTTTAAAAAAGGTGCAATAACATAAAATAAAGCCCAAATTATCTACTACTACTATAATTTAAATTTTTACTTTGAAAACTTTGCATCAGAAAAAAAGTAAAACACGTGGAGTTTTCAGATTATTTTTTATTATTTTATCCTGGATGAACAGGATGTTTAGTTTCTTAATGAAGGAACTTCGTCTCAGCATGAAGATTATTTTAATTATATATGAATTTATGAGTTAAAGGAGTAACAATAAAGCTTAAAATAAAATAGAGGAGTTATCTCATCACTTATCTCTTCAAATTGAATCACCTGAACCTTGTGAGTTTTCAGCTTTAAAGCAACATGTCATATTTTTGTTTGAGTGCCTCCAGAAAACACATATTACCTTTAAACTCTTCAGCTTCAACAGACGACATTTGTAAAAGATTATTTAAAACCTTAGGCGAAAAATTTAGAGTTTGCAAAATGTATCTAGATTCATGTTTTTATTACCAGTTACGACATTTCCTTTTAAACCCATTTACGTACATTTTTATCATTTTATTTTGTTAAATGATTATAACTTGTTCCTGGACTGTGGCCGGGCTCGCAGTGGGATCAATAAAAGCCCTTTGACCTTTGGGTCACCGCCAGGTGTTCGGTGGTTTCAGTGCACTGCTCGAGCTTGCATCAGTCGCCTCACGGAGTCACCCGGATGTTGATGACGTCAGTCGTTTGACGAGAACACAGCGGTGCAACATAAAATGCCGTCCTACCGACAAAGGGGATCCTAGCATGCTTTAAGGAGGATTTTTAACTAAAATATTTTAATTTTGGTTCCTAAATTTGCGTTAAAAATTAAATATTTATTGACAGACGCTTTTATTGAACTTTATCGGCGTTTATTTCGTTAAAAGAAAGAATCAATGTAGCATGCTGCTACATTTACACAAATGTAGTGAGAATTATCACCAGTTTAGGAGATTCATCTTCACGTTTTATAATGTTCTTGTGTGATTTGTTCAGGTGCTTTTAATCCTTGTTCTTCTTCTGTAGTAACTGGAGCAAAGCAATAATAATTTGCTTTAAAATCTGACCGATATTCAACTCCAGTAATTTCAATATTTAAGTTTTGTGATGTCACTGGAGATATTTTTGCGCCATACTTCTACCCCTTTTTAAGACTTTTTTTTTTAAATCCATAAATGTAACTTCTTTTTTTTTAATCACAGATAAACTAAAAAGCTTAACTTACAAAAGTCTTCTAAAACTCACTCCTAAGTTTTTCAAGTTGAGGTTATTTCTTTCATCTGTTTTGTGTTTATTTTAATTTTACTAATTTTAAACCTTCTGGGATCTGATAAATGAAGAACTGCTGGAATTCAGTGAAAATCTAAATGGCTGTTTTAGCATCAAGGGCCATGGATTATTGACTAGAAATGATACTGTGAAGCTAATTTAACCACTTTTTCTTTCTGAATTTTGTAGTCAAATATAACTAAATAGTAAAAATAAAAATTAGGCTCTGAAAGGAAAATAGAGAAAAAAGAAACACCATAATCATCTTTTGCTGTAATTTTTCAAGTAAAATGTGGAAATATTTGGAGTTTAGGAATCTTATTTTATTTGATGAAACTTTTCAACACATTTTGATTCACGGCTTGAAGAGAAACATTGAACCGGAGTTCAGTCCAGGTGATTCCGACCAGAACCGGCATTAGCACTCAGAACAGTCGAGCTTTATAGCGGCACTCCTCTTGTTTACAGGACGATCCAGATCATGGCTTTGATATGTAAAAGGTTAAATCTGAGGCGAAGAGGAGAAGTGGCTCCTGCAGTGTGTTGCTAATGTGCATTATTTGCATCGACTGCCCCCCTGCAGCTCTGCACATGTCACCATGCAGGCTGCTGACGCTGCAGCTCTCTGCACAGGAATGACCCCGGGGTTTCTGAATGCTGGCAGAACACAGAACCAGTCTCCACTCAGGTAAACAGCTACTGCTGTTTACAAGAACATCCTAACTGTTTTTGTTTGATGCTGCAAAACTTTGCTTTGCATTTTCTTGCAGTTATCTGAATTAAAAATTCAATTCAAAAATACTTTATTG